CAGTTTCTAAAAGTAGTATGGTAAAAAGTATAGTATAGCTTTCATATGAAACCTAGTGATATCCTGTTAGATGAAGATGAAACTTGCTCAATTGTTGGATAAAGCCACGCATCTGAGAACAGAAATATTTCAATTCAAACTAAACCGTTGGCAATGTTCAATTTACCTTCGAATGGAGGTTCCAGTAGTGGTTCCTCCGGTATCATCTGTTTTAAATGAATGATATGCAGATCAGGTGCTGGATTTTATAGTGATTGTACTTCCATGAATGTTTCCGGCAACAGTAAAATTTCCTTCTCGTCTTGAAAATATAAATGAGCGCGTATATCCCTGCCATTTAATACTTCAATGGAAAATAGGGTCCTCTCTCCTGTTGTACCCAAATAGAGATCATTTTCTAACACGGATAACGCTTTTGTGGTAGATGCGAAAGCCCATCATGTTATTTGAGCTCCTTTCGGAAATTCATTAGTAGCATTTTTTCGCACACCACCCCATACGACCTGTGCTGTTGAACATGGTATTTCAACCAAGGCAGTAAGAAAAAGTTTAAGATATTTGAACCATGGTTGTAATTCTTCTGGACCACCTCGCTTAAGAGTATGATTAAGATGAGAATAAAGACTTCTGCCTGTATTACTCTCCTCCATTGTGTAGAGATGAATTGAAGCTGATTCATCACGAGTCAGTTCATCGGGTGGATTATCTGGAGTGCGTTCTAAAGCCATTGAGACATACATGAGTATATCGGGAATAATGAATATTAACGGTATGCATGCATCAGCAAGCGGAAGTATTGGTTCTTGAGCATAGTCAATGAAAGGACATAGCATTACTCGATCATCGGAATCTTGCATTAGTAGACGAGAGTTTCTACGTTGAAGTTGGGGTTTACTATCGTTTGTCATTTTCTTGTGCTCATCGTTTTCAAGCAATTTCTTTAGTTTCTCCATCATGTTGAAGATAGTTTTGTTATCTGAAATAACAAAAATGCAGATAGCAGCAAATAAATCGATAGTTACTAAGTACTGCGTCCAACCGTCAGCGATATCCGAATCTTTTCTACCAGAACCGATCGATACACCTGCACTGTGATAGACACAAATAGGTAAGGCTTAGAAATCTATATAATGTAATCAAAATTGCTTATCTAATTTTCTTATAACAGACATGCCAGTTCATATGTTCTTTGCGTCGAGAATAGTTTACACTAACAGATACCGAAAGAATAAAATTCGTGAGCATATAATCATAGTTCCTTTTCATCTCAAATAAATATTTTCATGTCTTCTCGTACAAATCAGTATAAAATATACTACAAGTTACTACTGTTAACACATTAGAAAGAAAATGATACCGTACTACAATATCTATCTAAAAAATATTAGCCACCATCGCATCATTTCCTTGACTGGCATCTCGATAGACAGTTTTGATATCAATAAAATTTTACTAATTATCAGAAAATAATAGTGCTAGGAAATTATAAAAATAGAGGTGAAGAGCATCAATAAAATATGAATTATCAGTTAATGCATCATTTTACGCTCTCTCTATGTCGTAAAAGAAGGAATTTTTCTTTTCTAAACGTTAACATGCGTAAGTTCAAATAAAAAGAAGTTACTGTCTTACAAATACCTAGTTCGATTATGCTGATCATAAAATCTGACTGGCTCCTGATAAAAGGACGGCTTTTCCAGCGTAGTTCCGACTTCTTCTATCAGTCTTTACTCTTGAACCGACTCAAAAACCAGAAAAAAACACAAAAATACTATTCAGAACTGGAAAAACATCGTAAAGTTTCCTAATAAAAATAGTTTCTTCGAAGGCGCAAAAATTTTCGTTTTTTTTCAGATAATTTTTTCAATTGAGCAAGTCAACATGAAGTTCTAATATCAGAATAACTATATGAGTATATATATATGTATATTTTTTTATTTCTTCTTTTGTTTTCTTATATAAAAAGCAACAAAGTAAACGTAAATAATATAAATGGTCACATATTTTTATTTATTTTTTTTAAAGAAAAGAATCATAATAAAAACAACAAGAAAGAAGAGAGAAACCAATGTGAGAAAAAATTTCGATAAAGAGATGTGAGTAACGCGAAGCCTCTCGAACTCCGTTCTTGTCAAGCAAGTATTAGCGTGTAGTTGGTCGTAGGAGATACATAAAGAGAAAAAGAATAAAAAAAGAAAAAAAATGGAAGAAATGGGAACCAGTTTTTGAGATAGTTAATGGGTATCAGGATTGGGGGGAGAATCTCATGAGAGCCGAAGACAATTCAATTTAGTGGAGAAGAATATGCTTAGGACGAAAGTGAAGGTACAAATTTAATAAAAAATATGAAACATTTTTTAAGAAAAAGGT